GTGGTACCAGGGTAATAGCACTACATTAGTGCAAAAAACCACTCTGTATGCCTAGAAGCAACACAAAATGCTGGGGGTAAATTGACTGAATTATATGTGTTGCTCTTCTGGGAATGCAGAGTAAGTTTTGCTGCAAGTTCCATGTAGCTGTGGTTGCATGCTATACCTTTAGGAAATAAGAGTCTTGAGGGAGGACAATCAATGTAATCATTATTTTGCTTGTTGTTGAAGCTAAATTGCTCTGTTTTGTTGTATGTATATATTAATATATGTATTATATCATCATATGCTTAACAGGATCAAAGGAAGCCTGGTGTAGACAAGTCTAGTAGAGTGTAAGCTTTAACCCAGGCTACACCTTGACATAACACTGAGGGATGATTCAATCCATCACTTTTCATTTAAAATAATAGACTGGACCTTGGTCAAAAATATCACTGGTATAAACAAATGGCATCATTGACGGATCACTGTTGCCAATAACCAATGACAAATACCTTGCTATTTTTCCTTAGTTTGGCAAAGTCCTCTCTTTTTATTAAAGCTGGCAACTATCAGTATAAAAGGACATCTGTCACTACCTGATAGATACTCTGAGGAAATGTGTTTCTAAAGTGTCAAATCCAATCCTTTTCTATAAGAACTGTGACTCTTAGAAGGTTGATTAATTTTAGGGTAGATTCTAAGATGCCTCCTCCTAGCACACTGAAGATTGCTCAGATCTGGAAGTAGTACCTGAGTCATCCTAGCTTGCAACTCAGCATTTTAAGGAAATTCCAATTTAGGATCTGTTTGTCTTAAAGGATTATTAGCAAAAGTAAAACAGGAGCTGCTGAAGAGGCAGAGTAGACACTGGTGTCAAGGAGGAGGAGCTGACTGCCTGATACAGTAATGTGGTGTCTTCCCCTATGTCAGGTCACCTTCTCTGGGAATCAAATCCCTACAATTACAGTTGCTGGGCTGGTTTTGTACTGTACTGAGATTGAGAGGTATGGTGTGTCATGCTTTGTGCCTGAAAATTAGTCTGCACCATCAAAAAAAAGTTTCACAATGCTAATTTTTCATTGCCTCAGACACATTTTCTCCTTAGGGATGGGAAGACCATTTGCATACACATTGATTAAATGGAATGCATTTGCTATTTTAGATGCATTCACTCTGAATTGTTATATTTTAATCTAGACTGTGCAGGGTCCTGGGGGGAAGCCAACAAACACAATATATGTCTAGATCATTAAGAATAATCTAAGTGTGCTGGAAAAGATGTGTACAAGTGTTTGCAGGGTATTCCATATTTACTCTGTGGTAATGATAAATAATCATTGGCTTTCTCAGTTTATAAGTCAAAAAGTATGTTTTAAATACATCAGTCCTCAGTGTGGGCTCTGTAAATATGAACCAAATAACATTTGCTTAACATTTAGTCCTTGTTACCACAACCTCAAGTTTCTCACATGAATTCATCTGTTTGACCCCTAAAAGTCCCCTTAAAGCAGGTAAATATTTTATCCATACTACTGGTGGAGAACTGAAGTGTAGGGCAGGCTGAAAGTAGCTGACAGAAAGTACCTATAAAGAAAGGGCTTCTACACAACTCACAAGTCTTAATCTCAGAAGCTTGCTAAATATCGTTGATGTTTAAATCACTCTAGATGATTTCTTCATTGATAAGCTGTCTGACTAAATTGTTTTCTGGAGCCAAACATGGTTTATTTCCCTTGATGCAGAGAGTAAAGATGTACAATGACAAAGTACCATTTTTATATTAAAATAAAATTTCAAGTAGAATTTTGCTAAAACACCATCCTGTTTTGATATTTTTGGCATGTCAAAGGGGTTCAGCTGAAAGGATTGAAGATCTATTGATCACTATTAATTTCCTAATATTTTTTGTTGTGCTTAGGGATCACATAATCTGCTGCTGGAATACACCCACATGTGAGCTGGAAAGCAGTGGCTGTCAGACAGCTCAGAGCATAACTTGACAGTTTAGAGGAGAACATTAAAGAGCTCTCTTTCTGATGCCAAATAGTATTGTGGCTAAAATCTAGCTACCTACTGAGGTTCCTTGGCAACTTAAAGAAGGGCCACATTGAAAGGAAAACTCAAACTTATATCATTAAGGAAAGAGATGTAAAAATTAAATTGGTTCAATATGTATGTTTTCCTGATCCTCAGCAAAATGAAGCCCTCAGTAGGGCTATCAAAAATATCAATATTTAAAATCTAGCTGCTAAACTCTCTATTAGTCTCTGTACTCACATCTACAAATACCCCTTTTATTCCTTCCTTCTGATGTCAGAAAAAGGTAAGGTTTGAACTAGAACCAAACAAATATAGGTACTATGCAGTAGGATTATTCTAGAACTTTTACATAAATTGGCTGATAGGACAGCTCTGCAGTACTGTTTTCTGCAGGGTAAAAGGGTGGTTAACCCCTGGCCAGCAAAACCAAGAATTACAATTATTTGTAGTTGGATAGATAAGGGGCTTGTAGATCAAGGTCAAGGCTACATCTTGATCCTCTCAAAGGCTAAACTTTAGGACCTGATCATAAAATTAATTCACAAGAATTGCCTGTCCTAAATACATCTTTTAGGTCATTCTCTGAATGCCTCCATTAGTGCAGTTAATTTTGGGGAAAGACAGTGACAAAGATTTGGTAAACTCTTCAGATTGTTCTGTAAATTCAATTAGTATTGATACGGGAGGTCTCATCATGTACAAGACCTGTTAGGCTGCAAGAACAAAATAAATGGTCTGTATCCCAGGAGTCTTGCAGACAGCACAGCTGTGATGTTCACCCATTAAAAATCATTGGGGAAAAAATAATAAAGCATTGGTTTATCAGTAAGCAAGAGTATATAAAGAGAATTTTATTTATCTCAGGAATGCTTTCGTCACTTTTTATTCAATCAAATCCTAGAAAACTGGGGGTTTTTTCTCCCATTGGTGTAATTTAGTGCATTAGATGTTTCACAAAGCATCAATTACATACGTATGAGTCTCTAGGAAAGCCTTTGAAGGAAGGGTACTAATGTTCTTGTTCTTGAAATAATATCCTCATATTGTCACAAGGTATTAGTGATACTGTCATTTCTCTGTTCCGGGAATAGAGTTTCCTGGGCATTGCTCATCTCCAGCCATTTGTCAGCATCTGTTAGGGCACTGTAGCTCACATTCACCACCTTGAAATGCTCTCATCATCTCGGCAGGTTCCTGTGGCAGAATCCTGACAGCGGTCACTCGCTCAGGTTAGGATGGGAGTTGCTGTGGGGCTGGCACATGGGAAGGGGGGCAGTGAAGCAGTTGTTTGCCCATCCCTCTGATCAGTGAGAACGCTGGAGCTGGTTAGGTTGGATTTGGGGAAATTCTTGAACATGTATGTGAAACAACAACTAAGTCAAATCTTTTCAAGTGCTCTCACTGTTGGCACATAGTTGAAAGGTTTATTTGCTATGCAGTATATTTGTTTACATTGGTCTCGGTTACCATATATTGAGATCAAGTGTTTTGTCCCATTGAAACTGGGGCTGTTAAGGCCATAGGCTGTGTTTGTGTGGCTAGTATGCAATTCACCATGGATGCAGCTTACAAACTGGAAACAATAATAATAACTGCTTCCTGGATCTGAATTTTTCTTCTTGATAATATTGCAGTACTAATACAGCAGGATTTAATAATTACAGTCAACTACAGGTCTTAATTAAGTGCTGGTACTTATTACTGTGATAGTAAAATGGAAATAGCTTCCTGATGATTTAAGATTGGTTTATAAGCTCCTGAAAAAGCATAAAACTTCCCTTATTTGTTGCTGAGGTTAAAATTAGGAAAGATCATAAGACATGCATGGCAGACATTTTATTTTTGAGGATCTTGCTTTTGTTGTAGATTTGCATTTAATAGTGTTTGCTAACTTTTTGCAGTTAATAGTGTTGCAGTTGCAGTTAATTTGGTTTTGCATTTGTTGCAGTTAATAAGGTTTGCAAAGCTTTTTGTTAAACCTTAATATAATTTGTTTAGTTTGTGGATTGCACATTCAAAACTGAAGTTAATGGAAGCATAAAGAAATTAAAGTAGATCACTAATAATTTGAGCATCTGAATAATCCATTGTAGAGACCATCAATTTAATTGCATGTGCATATTGAAACCCCTCATTTGAAAACAAGTTTCTTAATATTCAGTTTATAATGTCAACATCTGTTGAAGTATACAATGGTTTTATGATAATTAGCAATAGGAAAACCGTAGAAGTCTTGACGTTTGATTGAGATATACAACCATGTTTCTGATACTTTCCCATCCTACATAAACCTCTTGTTTTCCTGAAAAATTTCTGGTCCTTCAGGCCTTGAGGGAAGCTATACATGTGTTGTAATTCTGTATTTGATTCCCACTAGATTCCAAGAGATCAGAGAAAAATTAGAAGAAAATTATTCACTAATTTTTAAGTTTCATTGCAAAAGGGTAGTTCAAAATGTTTTTTTTCCCTACTTCCCTCATTATAGTGGTAGCTGAAGAGTTGAAAGACTTCTTGATGTTTGACTTACTACAAAAGTAATGCAGATCTGGATTATGTGAATTCTTAAGGGGTTTGTTTTGGTTTGGTTTTGTTTGTTTGTGTGTGTGTGCAAATTGCATGAATCTTCTGAGTTTTCTTATTCTAATCCCTGATATTAGTAAACTTCCACTGCAAGCTTAGTGATGAATGATGCCTTGGAGACCTGTGCTATAATTATGCTCTGAAATTTTTCCAGTTCATCTGGCTCTTTGTGGTAGTCTAGGAGCTTGATTCCCAGCATCAGACATCACCAGCTCAACTGTAACAAAATCAGTTGTAATGAAACAGGAAGTTTCTTACTGCCTGACATGAAAAGTCTGTGCTTAGCAGTGTTTGTGTGTTGATGTCAAGCAGGTTTGGAAATGGCACACTGCTGAACTTGGCAGTTTCCTTAAGATACTGTAATCAATGCCACTGCAATGTTTTCTCAATGCTAGGATTCTGCCCAACATCTGGCTGGGAAGTTGCCCTCGGCAGCTGGAGCACGTGACCATCAAGCTGAAACATGAGCTGGGTGTTACAGCTGTGATGAACTTCCAGACTGAATCTGACATTGTTCAAAATTCCTGGGGCTGCAACCGCTACCCAGAACCCATGAGCCCTGAAATCCTCATGAAACTGTATAAGGAAGAAGGTCTTGCCTATGTCTGGCTGCCAACTGCAGACATGAGCACTGAAGGTAATGCTCATGTCACTCTTGAAGTAAATTAACAGCAACAAACACTCTGAGTTACTAATCTGCCACTTTCTTGACAGTTGGGGGGCAGGAGCTCTGTGTACATTTTGCATGAAAATATAGCAGTCACAAAAAGTATAGTTTCTTTGTGTGCTGTCTTTAACAAATTATTCATATTTTTTTGTAGGCAGAGAGGCCATCTGAAGTACTTTGTGTCTGGCAGTATTATATGTATTTGAGTTTAAAGTCATCTGACATCAATAACTGCTTCACTATTTTTGCTTTCAGCTTGAGTTCAGCCTATAAAATGAAGATATTCTGTGTAAGTGGAAGACTGTAAGTTTGCAGAGTAGGATAGCTTGCCGCCTTTGCTGATTAAAAAGGGAGAGACAGTGCTGTGTGTCTGCTGTTCCCTTCCCAACAAACATTTTTTTCTTAACTGTAGTATCTGTCTGATGAAACTCCATAGAGACATTTATATAATAGTTTGCAATTAATTGAAAATACTCATAGCACCTGAGCTGTAACATCAATTACTCATACTTTTAAGTCCTTGGTTGGAATGCTCAGTTCAAAGACTTGTTTCCAACCAGAAGGTTAGAAAGTGAGTGTGTTTTGAAGTGAGCAGCCTGCCAGCAGAAGAGTGTGCTTTCAGCACAGTGAAATACCACTGCCACAAGTAGGTAACTGTTGTTCTGTTGTTGTATCAGTAATAGGACATGAGGGAAGGCAGGAGACCTTAAAACAGGGATTTGAAAGGGCTTAATGTCAGTGCTCATATGTGCCATGAGGAAAAGCTGGGCTCTGCTGTTTGCAGCTCTGGTTCCTAGGATAGCCAGAAGAAAAGCATCAGAAAATATGGTATATTCATCCCTTTAGGAGTGAGAAAGGCTATTCTGTGTTGTTTAACTGTATGCTTAGTACACAATGAAATTTTAAGTTGTACAATAAAATGGTCTTCTGCTCTCCACTCACTTATTGAATTGATGACCTTCATTACAATGTTTTGGAAATCAGCAGTATGTGGGTACCTTCACAAACCTCATTAAAAAAAAAATTAAAAAAACATTTTTGGCTTGCTGACTTTAACTCTATGTAAGTTGTGCTGTTCTCTGTAATGTGCTGCCTTGTCTCAGTTCCTTTGAAAATGAATATGCCGCACACATCTGATGTTATCAGAATGTATATTTAGAGACTTGGAGCATTTTACAGTTTTGTGTGATCTGATTCTATATTGCAAGGAAAAAACCAAACAGGTTAGCCTAGAAGGTCATTTGAGAAAAGAAAGCAAAAAGTGGAATATGTCAGGTTTGCCATTATATTTCACAGTTCATCAGGCTGTACAGGCAGAATCTCAGTCATGAACTGACTGTCCAGTGCAAATGAACGTGCCTTGTTTTTAACCTTAGGAAGAATACAGATGTTGCCACAAGCTGTCTGCCTCCTGCACGGGCTGCTGCAGAATGGACACACTGTCTATGTTCATTGCAATGCTGGTGTTGGCAGGTCCACAGCTGCTGTCAGTGGCTGGCTGAAGTACGTGATGGGATGGAGCCTGCGGAAAGTGCAGTACTTCTTGGCTTCCCGGAGACCAGCTGTCTACATAGATGAGGAAGCTCTGAATCGTGCTGAAGATGATTTCTACCAGAAATTTGGGCATCTTCGTTCCTCATTCCAAATACAAGAGTAGAAAAGTACAAGAGGAAAAGGAAGCTGAAGAGGAATTCTCACATTTGAAGCCCAAGGACTTAGAAATTTCTGTGACTCAGGCACCCACCTCTTATCTTCACATGATAAACTTCTTGTAAAAGTGATGAGAATTTTGTTTAAAAAGTGCCTTAGAGTGTTTTTTATTTGCTTTCTTTAAGCTGACATGATTCCTGTTTTCAAGCCTTTTGGTGCAATTATGAGACCTAGAAACTCTGCAAAGTGAAGCAAGATTTTCTTTTAACTACTTGCCTGTAGGAACTGAGGTTTTAGTGTAGACACTAAATAAGATGTGAGGTGAAATAGAGAAAAAAATACAAAGATTGACTGGACTAAGTTTCAGGTTAGTATGGAGATCATCATCAAAGCTGCTCAGTTGTTTTAAGTGGACATTAGATTGTTGCAGTGTTTTGTAATAAATTTGTAGACAAGTGATATTAATGAGAAAGACCAAAAGGAAACTAGTTCTTCAACTCAGTGTTTAAAAACAAAATGCTAAAGTCTAATGCAGTGAGCTAAGATTTGCTCTTTGTCCGTCTAGTTAATGTTAAATATTATGAGCTTTGGCTATATTCTTTTATGACACTGGGGTTATGCTGGGGTGTGGCATGAAGAGGGTCACAGCTCCAGCTGTAGCAGCCTTTCTTTGTTGTGGGGGCAGGAGCACTATTTGTTATATTATCCTAGGCTGTGAGTTTGCTGAATTGAAGCTGAGTTTTGCTCCTCTGGTCCATGCAGTGCTGTACAGGGGCTCCTTTAGGTGCCAAGGCAATCTGAGCAGTAACCACTGGGGTAAGACAGGACCTATAGGAATTGTGTGATAAGCAATGTGCACAACTGGCACCACAGCCTCTGGGCTCTATCTCTAGATAGACTAATATCACCAATACAGCAAAAGCCTCTCCTTGTGCAAGCAGTGGGTGTGTGTTAAGTTTAGCTGATTGAATCTAGTGCTGGGCTATCTCTGGGCTGAATGAGTACATTCCTCTATAGGAGCAGAGAGCAACTCTGCAGAGGATGGTTTCTCAGGAGCTTAGACTAAACGTTAGCTTTGTGGATGATCCCTAATGTTTTCCATTGCTGCTTGGTCCCTCAGCTAAACTCAGCTAAACTAAGCAGTGGCATCAACAGCTTCCAGTCCCACTCAGATAAAACCAATTTGCTGTAGGTTCAGTTCAAGAGAGGATTAAGGATGCATAAACATTAAGAAACATAGTTTCTATAGGTCTGTTCTTCTGTGAAATCTCATTTTTTCCCAGCCAACTTATTCCTCTAAAGATGCAGTCAGTTTAAGTAAGAAATATTGATTTTCTGAATACTTAATGGAGAAACTGTTAGCTATGAACTGTTTATGGAGAATATCCAAAATAATATATTTTATTTATCCCGTACTTCAATCATCTTGAAAAAAAAATGTTTGTTATTCTATGTGCGGTTTTGATCATGACTTCATTTTTGACTTTTTCAAATAACACTGCCTGTTTAGAAAATAGATGAGAAAAGTTCTCTGTTAAATAAAGACAAAATTACTATTCCAGAAGCCCATTTTGTCATGTGTCTTTGTTTCCCAATTTCACAAATAGAAAAAAGGGTCATGACCAATATTTCTATATAGAAGTGGAACCAGCCACTTTAATGGTAACAGCCCATGTCTTGTCTGGTGTGCTGTGTCAGTTTCATAGGAAATCTCATAAAACAGCACAGCAAAGGTGTGTGGATCATATGGCACCTCTGGTATGTTCAAAGACAAAATTAGGTGTTTCTTCTCCTAGCCCTGTGCAGAAAGCAGAGGGAGTGTGTGAATGCTCCTGTCTGGCTGTTGGGCTCACATGTAGGTGTGCAGAGCTACAGCTGGCTGCTCAGGAGGATATCTCATTTTGACTGAGTTTAAAGTAAAATTGGTGAGCTTTTAGCAGAAGCTAAAAATGTTTACCATGTTCTCCTCAAAATCAAGAACTGAGAGAAGGAGAATGGCATAAGAGGCAGAGAGTACAATTCACCTAAGTTTTAAATTTCTGCTGAGGTTTATTTGAAACCACAAGCTTAAAATGTGTTTTCAAGCATCCCTGACAGACAGCCCTTTCCTCCAGATGCAAATTGTAATAAATGCTGGGACAAATACTTGTAGATTTGAGTCTTGTTCCACAGGTAACCAGTCTGTATTGGCTACTTATTGAGAAACTGCCAGCTTATTCACCAGTCTTCACAGAAGTAATCGTGAATGCCATTTATTTCTATCTTTAGCACACCTTTTATAGGGTTTTACAGGGTCTGCAGGCAGAACAAGCTACTATTGGCTAACACACACAGTTTACATTTTTTCTCCTACACACAAGAATATTGTTTTGCTTTACTCTCTCTTCTGCAGGCAAGTTTCAAGGATTTTAGCCCTTAATATCACAACTTATTTCAAAGGCTGGTTTGTGCATACAGGCCTTTACTAATATATAAAATATATCAACAATTCCCCCTTTCTCTTTTTGCACAGACCAGGCTTTGGATAAGATAACATACAACTTAGACTGTCATCTCAATTAACATTATAAGTAAAGTCCGTCCCCCTTCTAGCACACGAGACCTTAACCATCCGGTGATGCCCCAGCTGGCAAACCAACTTCCAGTGGGGTCACTATCTTCTTTCAGGGCATGTAACCCATCCTGTAGCTGTTGTAGTTGCTTATGGATGGAAGCTGAATGATCAGTAAGATTCAAGCAGCACATGCCTTCAAATTCCTCACAACCGTATCCTTGCGCTAAGAGCAAAAAGTCAATTGCAGCTCGATTTCATAATACTGCAAGACATACACTACTCGCATCAGCTGAAAGCTCACTTAACATTGTGGATATTAAATTTAATTCTTCCTTACTCTAACAAGCGAGCCTTTTTAGAGTTGCTAAGCCTTAATTCATTCAGGCTTCGCTTTGACTGTTTGATGTTTTTCATTTTGCTAGTTACATTCAACAATTGATGTAAGCTTGGGTGGAACAAAGTTAGTTTCCCAAGATAACAGGGTCCTCTGTGGATTAGCAGGAATCTAATTCCATGCTCTATCTCCACAGATTAGGAA